GGTCTGTGAGGTTTTCTGCTAGTACTATAGTGTCATCTGCATATCTTACATTGTTGACATTCCTTCCTGCTATTTTCACTCCTCCTCCTTTTGTGTCCAAGCCTGTTTTTCATATAATATGTTCTGCATACAAGTTGAACAGATAGAGTGAAAGGATGCAGCCTTGTCTGACTCCTTTGCCAATTGGAAACCATTCTGTTTCTCCATGTTCTCTTCTGACAGAAGCCTCTTGTCCTGAGTATAGATTCCTCATCAGATCTATCAGATATGTTGGTACTCCCATGTCTTTAAGGGCATTCCATAGCCTTTCATGGTCTATGCAGCCAAAGGATTTGCTATAGTCTATAAATCACATGCTGATTTTCTTTTGGAATTCCCTGGTGTGCTCCATTATCCATCATATGTTTGCAATGTGATCCCTAGTGCCTCTTCCTTTCCTGTACCCTGCTTGGACCTCTGGGCTCTCTTTTTCCATGTATGGTTGGAATTTATGTTGTAGAATTTTGAGCATGATTTTGCTTGAGTGGGAGATCAGTGCTATGCTTCTATAGTTGCTGCAGTCTCTTGTGTCTCCCTGTTTGTGGTTGGGGATGTATATTGATCACTTCCAATCTGTTGGCAATCATTTTGTTTTCCATATCTGTCAACATACGTTGGTTAGCACTAGAGGTGACTCTGTCAATGTGGATTGCAGCAGTACAATTGGAATATCATCTATTCCTGGTGATTTGCTTTTCACTATTTCTCTTATTGCAGTTTCCACCTCACTTTTAAGAATTTGGGGTTCATTTTCAGATGGCTCTTGAGATGCAATTTTATATGCAGAGAAATAGAAGGCAACAACAAAAAGGGAAGAACAAGAGATCTGTTTCACAAGATCTGGGAAATCAAAGAAAAATTTAAACCAAGGACTGGGACAATCTATGATAATAAAAATAACATAATTCAAGACCAGGAAGGAATAAAAAGACGTTGGATGCAATACACAGAAGAATTATGCAAAAGAGATGACAAAATGAAGGACACATGGAATTATATGAAGATAATAAGGCTATTCTCATTGAATTTGCCAGGACTTTTTATTTTCAGAGCATGCAGTCTATCATTAAACAATGGCTCTCTCCTCTTAAAGAAGTTCCTAAAGTCCTGTGCTCCAAAAATGTAGTGGGTACCACCCTGTCCTGCCCCTTCTGGCTGTCTACATATATGACAGAAGTAATGTCAAATTGACATGGACAATCTGACCTGCACATTTCCAACAGCCAGTGTGCAGGGGAAGTGTGCATTTTTTTGAGACCCTTTCAGTTTGCATTTGTCATTGTTTTTGTTTTTGTCCTTTTCACGCTACACTGTTATAGCACTATATTTCATTTTAAATGCCTTGGTAACATTCTTTGGAATTCTGGGATCTATAGCTTAGTGAGGTCCAAGAGCATTCTGGCTGAGGGTTCTAAATGCCCCTCCCTAAACTTCAAATCTCAGGATTCCATATGATGTGAAAGTGGATTAATAGCACTATAATTGAGAGAGAGAGAGAGAGCACATCTGCTAGCTGGATAGACCATTATGTAATCAAAGTAATTACCAAAATAACAATGAGAAATGCAGTGTACCCTTCTTTTTTTCACTTAAAAAGGTGTGTTTTGAGCTGCAAATAAATGCTTTAACCTCTGAATGGGATCTAATGTAGAATTAGATGTAATTAAAATAATACCTCAGTTTTCATTTGGATGGTCTGAATATATACTGTCAGTAATTGCAGGCTATGAAGCATGATAATGATAAGGATGAATGATTGCAGGAATTTCTTATCTGTGCAACAAGGTACCCAGAAGAGAACAGTGTTTCATGCAAAGGGTGCTCAGGCTGATGAAATGGGCAGGTTTAGGTTAATGAAAGATCAGGGATTCCAATGTTAGAGCTAGAAGACAGTCATAAATACCTTGGAATGCAGTTCTTTCGACAGATTAGCAAAGTCCAAGTGCAAAGAACAGTTACAGGAAAGCCATTTTAAAAGCTTACAACGGAGATCTATAGACATATCTAAGAATAAAATCCAGGCCACATGGCTGTGTTGAGGACCTGAGGCCAATGTTTATATGTATACTTCAGGGGCAAAATTAAGCTGTACATACCAAATAAATGCAGACTACCATCTTAACATATTCCTTTGGGAGTACATCTGTAATGGAGTTTGGAGAAACCATTGGTCATAACATACACATCTAATCCGGGGGTGGGCAAATTTTGGCTTTGGAGTTGCATGCCAATGTCAACTAGAAATTTATTTGTTTTGTTTATGGCATGATTATTCTTTTAAACCTCTCATGATAGTTGAACATTTTCTTTCACAGAGGCGTGCACTTGAGAGTGGTAGTGACAGAGCATAGCAAGTTACCTTTTATTCATAATTCATTCATTACAAAGCCCATCTGGCAATTTGTTACTGTTACCACTACCTTAAAAAAACAACACCACAGTCCTTGTATTGTTGTTTCTGTTACATTTTTAAAGCCTTATAATTGATGTGAATGGCATAAAGCCTTTTTAAAATCCAAGCAAATTATCTGGAAATGCCGGAAAATGCCCTTTAAAAGTAATGAGAAAATGTTAATCTTTCTCTGTTTTAACAACTCCCAAATCCCAGCTCTTCCAGACCAGACTTTTCCTGGGGGGAAAAGTATGAGTTGACTTTCCAGGAGTGTACCTGTATCAAAAGTTACCACAGTTTGATAGCACTTTAAAGGCCATGCTTCCATCCTATGCAATACCGGAAACTAGTTCTAATATCCTGAACTTCAGTACTAATAGCTCACAGTGAATCCAAATACCTCCCTAAACTTCAAATCCCAGGATTCCACAGGACAGAGACATGAAAGTTAATGTGGAATTGAACTACTATAATGCTGTAGAATAGATTCTCTGCCAAAAGCCTCAAGGAGTGGAGATTCAGTTTTTAAATAGGTTAAAAGAGAAGGCTGTTTTTCTTTTCTTTTTTTAACTTTCTTATGTTTATTTTTTTCTTTTAAAAAAATCATATTGGCATACGTCTTGAATTGCATAATAAAATAAAATAAATCAAAAAGTTACACCAAGTATGGCGTAAGGAAGGAAGGCAGGGTTAAGGAGGAATGCAGAAGAGAAGCACAAGAGCCCAGTCATGCTATTGAAAAAACATGAAATATAGAATGCTCCCAAACCAGTATGTATCTGGTTCTTTTAGTAATGTGATTGCAGTGAGACTGGGGCTCATGCAATAAATTACTTAGGCTGAGAAGCAGCAACTTGCCCAAGATCACCCAATGTATTTCTTTAAATCTAACAAATCAGAAATAAAATATAACATCTCACAATAAAGTTTACAGGACATGAAATGTCAGGCTGTAGCTCAGTGGTAGAACACTTGCTTTGCATCCAGAAAGTAATCCAAGTTCAGTTCTTGGCATTGCAAGGCAGGATTAAGAAATATTCCTTTCTTGAACCCTGAAAAGCTACTGCCAGTTAGAGATAACAATACTGTGCTACACTGATCCGCAATCCCACCCAGAATAAGGCAGTTTCCTATCTTCCCATGACTGCAATCCATTGTACACAGTAGCTACTGGAAGTACATTGCATTAAAATCATTGGTGCTTAATTCCAACTTTATAAAGTTTAATGGGTAAAACATAACGAATTTGCACAATAGATGTTCAACCAACTGAAATGCAACCTTTAGCTTTTCATCAGAAATACAGACAACTGTGCAAAGATGTGTTACAAACAATCTAGTGCTTCATTTGCTTGCTGACTCCTTCATAATCCCAGCACAGGAATTTACATCAATTTTCTGCTCTTCAAATCATCATCATCATCATCATCCTCGAGTTCTACTACTCTAGCATTGCCATTTTTTGTGCTATAACTCCCCAGATTTCCCAGCCAACGTGTTGCCTAGGGGATACTGGGAGTTGTAGTCTGAAAAAGTAAATTTCCCACACACTGTCCTCATTCCATTATTCCACTGGCTTTACCAGTGGCCATCTGACTGGGGGATTATGGAGAGTGTAGTCCCTAAGAGTAGATTTTTCACAGTCTGTTCTCATTCCATTAGACCACTGGCTGTACCACAACCATCCAGTTTGAGATTCTAGAAATTATAGTCTAGAAATAGAACTTTTCAAAGTTCAGTTTCCACTATACACTAATTGTACCAATGGTCATGTTACTTGAAGTCACACAACATCAACAACAAGACCACAAATATCTCAAGCATTGTTTTACAATTGAGTTATGTGTATCTACTAATTTGCTCAGAATTTGTGAGGTGGGGGAGGGAGTATTTGACAGGAGAATTATTTTTGCACTGGGTCCTCCAGATGTTTTAGCCTACAACTGCCATCATCCTAGCCCAGTTATAGACATTGGTGAGAGACTGTGGGAGTTGCTGTTCAAAAAATATCTGGAGGGCCACAGTAGCTCACCCAGTGCAACAGAAAGGGGGTTCCATCCATAGAGAGTATCAAGATTTTTTAGAATTAAAAATCCACAATATTTGAGCCTCATGCTGGCAAAATACCACAAAATACTTGTGTTGGACAGTATAGCTGTTTCATTGCTTGCCACTCTTCCTTCCTGCTACTTCTGTTTCCTAGTGCTTCTTCTTACTGCATGGTACTGAGATGAAATTTGCTCCCAAAACTCACCACAAAATTAACTTCTATAATAATGGTTTCAACTACCTGAATATTTTCCTGGTCAAGTACTTGGTATCTGTACTTGACAAGCAGTATTTTTAATTTTAGCATTTTATAGTTAGCTGTTGATAGTTGTCTCAAAGGAAACACAACATTATGACCGTGAGTATTTGATAGTTGACACACAATGTTATTCAGTGTCTGAGAGCATGTGATAGATGTCATGCCATGGTATTCGCTTCCTGAGTTGAAAGTTTATGACATTTCATATTTGAAAGCAATCAAGAGAAACCAATAAATTGGAAACACCCACATTTCAGATACTGAGATGTTACTAGCCTGAATCTGATGTTTGCGTTCAGATTTCATTTTAGATTTTTAAAGATGTTTAGCATTAAAAAAATATTTATTACAGTTACTAACTATTCCTAAATGTTAGGAGAACCTCCTGATGCCAGATACTGGCATCTTGGTCAGATACTCAAGACACCAACAGTACCTACTTAAAGAACATTAAGAAGAAGGTCAGTTTCTTTATTTTCCTTCCTTCCTTCCTTCCTGTCCCACCTTCTTGCCAGGCAACAGATTACATAGTACTATTATTATATGCCATAAGAATCTACCATCCTCCTTAGGAAAATTTCACACTTCATATTTTTAAACAAACATGTAGGATTTTGTAAAGCACACATTTAAAGATGTAACATGAATGACACACACAAAGAGATACACTCATAATGTGTCAAACGCCCCTTCAGCTTATTATTACAACATGCCAGGATTCTCACCTTAACATAATAGCCATTGTAATAGTCCTGACACAGCACTGTTGTCTTGTTTCAGGTGGAATATGCAGGAACAACTGGGAGAATTAAGCCAAGGCCCTGGCACAGAAACAGAATCACTGAAGCACCAGGTCAAGCTAAGTTGAATTCAGACTGGATGGGCATGTGCACAGAGTAGTTTATTTGTGGGAGGAATGCAGCCCTAGTGACTGGGAAATGCTGGGAGTTGGAGTCCAAAAAAGCAACTGTTGGAAGCTCTGCACATACAGCATAAGAACACTACACATAAGATGTTACTCCTTTGACGTTTTGGAACCAAATGAAGGCTTAAATAGGTTGCCTGATGATCAAGGTTTTATGCGCCACTGATTTTGAGGAAATGGTTAGTTCCTAAAAGGCCTCTTATCAATCTGATATGTATTGGGCTTCAGGAGATCTGGGAAGTCTCTGGGTATGGGATATTTGGAGTTTGAGAAGGTTAGGACAGCCTCCTCAGGCAGTATGTATGGGAGCTGGGAGCTTACTGATATTACAGGACCTGCTAATTAGCATCCCCTTAGCATTTCTTAAGGAATACAAAATATATTGCATGGTATGCAATCTGTTTTATGGCACAACTTGTTGCCATACCAGACAATAACAATATGCAAAATGCATGAATGCAATTAATATGCTTGATATTTGTTATTTCCATGCTTACTACATGGAATGGGACTGTGGTGTGCCAAGGCAGAGAATCCCAGTGAGAATTACCCCAGAAGCTGCTATTGAAAACGACAGCAGCTCCAGCTTTGAGGTGATTTAAAAATCCTCTCTATAAGCTACAGTCCCAATTGCAAAGCTTGGAAAAGTTACTTTTTGGACTACAAATTCCATAATCCCCCAGCCAGCATGTAGCCACAGTAACTGGCCCATCTTTATTGGTTGCTATTTAAATAATGGAAATCAGACATGGTAAAAGTCACTCAGATATTTGAAATGCCATCTAGTTTTACCTCCATACTAGAAACTCTGTGGGAGAATAGTTCTCTTCTCTCTGCCCCACTTGCTGCACTATACCAGTTTCAAATAAAGGAATTTGGGAAAGCTTGATTATGATGGAGTTTTGCCCTGGGGGAAAAAAAAAACTGTTTCTGGCACAAAAATACCATGTGTGAATTTTGCACAAAATATTTTCCAAATTGCAAATAGTCTGAAAAAATGTGCAGTGGCCAAACACTTCCTCACACCAGGAAGAAAAGTACTAAAGCTACTCTTTGTCCTTACTTCCTCTGAGAAGAAAATGAGTGAAGAGTTATACCCATATATAAGACACATTTATAACTTGGGGCTGCTGGAAGCGAGGCCTACTGTACCGAGCAAAGGATGTCCCTTGAAATACAAGATGTCTCTTAAAATAAGGAATCACGCTTAAAATACAAAGCCACTATAGGTAGGGTAACATGGCCACTGCATCGCGGTCTCCCCACCTGCTCCATCTGCCTTTCCAAAGAAGAATAAGCACATTGGAGGGGGTTGGAGATGGTGTGGTCTTTTGGTGGCACTGGTAAAAGCGGAGGCCCATCTCTTTACAAAGCTAGCAGAGAATGGAGCAGGAGAGCGGAGGGTAGCACAGCTCTGTACAGCTGCAGGGCCGCCTCGCAACAGGGCAGAGTGGTTGGAGAATGCTCTCTTTGTTTCCATCCTTTAAAGAGTAGGAGAAACACTTATGCATGGCAAATTAGCCCAAAAATGTATTTCTCTAAAACACCCGATTGTCTAGCCATCTCTGCAGCTGCAGGGAAGTTCCAGAGAGAGAGAGAGAGAGAGAGATTGGTTTTTGGTGGTAGAAGGGGACAGTGGGAGGGAGGGAGGGTGAGAGAGATTTTGCTTAGAGGAAAAGGAGAGAAGGCAAACTATGTGGAGGAAGAGGCATTTAGCATGTTAATATGCTGAGAAACAAGGGGGGGGAAAGAAACCATAGGCTATCATGGCAATGAGACTATACTGTAGTGACATTTATAATTATTCAATATGGGGGTATAAATAAACAAAATGAAATGTAACATTTGGATGCCCTCTATGTATATTGAATAGGAAGGTAGCTCAAAAGCATTTGTTCTGACTAGAATCTGGTCCTCTTTGCCTTCTGCTCTTTAACATTCTAGATTTTAACATCCTACAAATTCTCTCTCTCTCTCTCTCTCTCTCTCTCTCTATATATATATATACACTTAAAAGGCCAACAGAGTATAAAATAGCCTAAATTCAATTGCTACTCTCAGCTAGAGCAGACCTCCAGAATCAATAGGGATTTGATAAATCACTTATGTAAATTCCAACACTTCACTGTCTCTACTCTGATTGGGATAAGCAAGTGAATATAATCCTGAAACTGATGCAAGTTATAAACATAATATATGCAGTTCATTGTCTATTTGATATTTATCTATTATAATTACTTGCTCCTTTTTTATTTCTTTTCATTCAAATTATCTCTAGCACTTCTTTCTGATCTTTATTATACTTTCTCATTCCCGTTCCCGTTCCAGTTCCAGTGTTGCAGTTCATATTTTTCCCCCTTAAAATTCCTTTCAGATTTTTTGGGTACCAAATTCATATTGTTTTTATGTTGTATATCATACCTTCCTACCTTCAAACTTCTGCTGCAGGAAACTGTGAAGATTTTCTAAATTTTGGCTATTAATATGCATGTGTCAATTAACAACCGTTCTATGTAATTTTATTAAATTAGCTTGAAAATTCATTTACAGCTACTAAAGCATGGAGTTTAATAACATTATACATCCAGTAATCTCTCAAATTACATGCATTATTTTAAGCCATTCTTTAAAAAAAATCTTTGCACTTCCATTGTGTGATGTTCCTGTATTGATGCATATGTTTTGTTTTATCGTGAAGAATTTCAATAAAAAATAAATTTTAAAAATGTGTAATCTTTCATCTGCCTGGTAT